GCCATCTGCCGAGTGAATCCTTTCGTGTTTGGGGAAGGTCAGTCCTTTGGCATTCAGACCTTCAACTGCTTGGATGAGGCCCACCCACGTTACAGCAGGTCATCTGCTTTACTCAAAGTTCAAATTTAAATGTAAATCTCCTTAAAAAAAAAACACCCTCATAGAAATATCCAGAATAACGTTCGGCCAAATATATGGGCATTGTGCCCCAGCCAAGTTGACACAGAAAATGTGCCATCACACGGGCTGACCAGGAATGACTATACCTGTTAAAGCAAAGCCCAAGCACTTTTCTCTAGGCGAGGCCTCAGGCTCTTCTGCCAAGCCTACTGGCTCAAATCCACAAACCAACCTGGCTGACAGTGCCAGCAACCTTTGTCATCTGGATTCACAAACCTGGGCAGATGAGAAACAAAGGAAGGAAGTAGGCAGTGAGGATTCGCTAGAGGCAGACGCCAGAAACAGTGAAGAGTGACTGCTCACAAGCCACAAGGAGGAGACAGATCTATAAAAAGTAGACAGAAGAACTATAAAAGCTCAGCAGCCTAGGGCTTTGGAGGGTTAGGACAAATCGTTCTGCCTGCTTCATGGAGTGAGGCTATAATACAGCCCAGTACAGCAACTGATGTTCTTAATGATATACCTGGCTCCCTAAACAACAGCACATTTGGATTAGGGCTTTTAACAAGTATAGCTGTTACAAGAGGTAGGACGGAAGAAAAACGGCAGTTTTAAAAAAAGGGAAGGGCATGGTAGTCACTGGCTGAATATGTCACCCCCACCCGCATGCTCACTCCTGCATGGGGAATAGAATAGATTATCTATTGGCTCTTTTTAAAAATTGGTCATTCCCCCATTCTCAGGGCAATGGTATCCAGATCTCATTTTAAGAGAACTATGCTCCCCATTCTTAGACATATAACTTGGGTGAGATTGATACCACCCCTTCTCCAGGGGTGGGCGTTATGGCTTAAGCCAATCTAAACATGCCATCTACCCTTCTGACCTCGGTTCAGAGAGGAGCATGAATCTAAACTGGCATTGCCATGATGCAAGGGGATGTTTGCTGGGGGCTTCTGAGAAAAAAGTTACTTCCTCCCTCACCCCCCTGGGGTGGTGTCTCCCAAGAATGTGGTCTAGAACTGATGTAGCCATTCCACTCTTGTGAAGGGGGAGCCTGGAGCTTACACGTAAGGCAGAGGGGACAAATGGAGAGAAGTTGGATTCTTATAACATCATTTGGGCAGCTGGATCAAACCTCACCTGCAGCTGATAGAGGGTTTTAATTTATATATGTCAATGGACTCCTCTTTCTGATTAAGCTAATTTGAACCGATGTGGGGCTACTTACAATGAAATGATGCCTAACTGACATAAGAGGTGGCACCTGACCAGAATCTTGAACAAGGATAGAATTGTGACTAGAAACAAATGCATTGAAGGGTATTCCAACAGCAATAACAACAGCAATAACAATGAACCACAGCAAAATGTATCAAGTGGATTCGTATGTTCCTGAAGCTCTGCCTAGTGGCTTGATCTAATCCTCAGGAAAACCACAGGAGGTTGGTGCTGTGATTATCTCATTTCAGACGCAGTGGCTGAAGCTCAGAGAAATTAATTGACTTAAGGTCACACAGCCGGGAAGTGAGCTGAACAGGTCTGCCAGCTGCCCGGGAATATGCTCTTCTCGTGCCGCCTGTCTTCTCACCTAAGCCTCTAGGCAGACGAGTGAAAAGAGGAAGGGTGCGTGAGCCGAAAGAGCACGGTCAGAAGAGAGTGGACCTGTGCAGTGGTGAGGGGGAAGGTGAGGCAGGCACGAGGCTAAGAGGCTGCTAGCACTCAGTGGTGACATGGTTTGGTGGCAGCCGTTACTATTAACCAGCGCACTGGTACAGTTTTGACGTTGCTCAGGATCTGCCAAGAGAGCAACCCCCAACCGCTTCTCAGGTTCAAAATGGGTTTTGTCAGGGTTGATATTTTGAGGGATGTCATCCTGGTTCTTTGGCTTCTTGCTTGGAAGAATTGCAAGCAGGGCCGGTGGACGGACAGATGACAGACACTTAGCACTTCCACACGAGCAGCTTTTATTGCGGGCTTGCCAGCGTAGACCAGAAAGCGAAAGTACATTTCCTGAGGGGAAATGGGTCTATCTCCAGGAGTGGAGAAGACACTGGGGTCTTACCACACTTCTACTTTTATGTCTACACCTTTAATGGTGGGTGTAATATTCATTATTTCTCTGGGAAAAGGGTGGAGAATTCTTAGAGCTAAAAGTCCTCCCTACTTTTATCCTTATAAGGTAACGTCCAGGGGTTGCCATGACAATTGTAAACTGTCATGGCACTGGGGGTGTGATTTTTACTATGCTAATATATGTTAATAGGGAAAGTGCAACCTCTGGACATGACCTCCTAGTTTTTGCGCATGCTCCTGGCCGGGAAAAGTCCCTAACCACAAGTTCCTGCTGTTGCGGGTTTGGTTCTAAATACTCATTGGCCTCCTCATTTTTCCCCTCTCCTGTTTTCCTGTGGTTAGCACTGCCAACCTACACCCGTCCCTAACAGGTTTATCTTATCAAGATATTCATGTCTTGTTTATTCATGCATCAGCCATTTGAGTGTCCATGCCTCAAGCGGCCTGCTTGGTGAGCAAGACAGTCAAGGTAACTGCCCTCACAGATCTGATAGTCGGGCCGGGAAAGACAAAATTAATCAAAGAATTACACCTGTAAATGTCATTAGCAACTGTGCAAAGTATAATGAGGGACAAGAACAGAATGCTACGACAAAGAATGAGGAGACCTAGTTTAGATCGGGAGAGTATGTGCAAGTGTGTAGGGTAAAGCCTCTCCATGGAAGTGTCACGGGACTTGATGTTCACATGGGCTTTTGCTCAGCAGGGCGGAGGCGTTCTAAGCGGAAGGACCAGCACACGCAAAGGGGAAATGCATTTGTATGTTTAATGAACTGAGAGCCAGTTTGGCTGCAAAGTTAGTGGGTGAGAGTTAGGAAGGGGCTGGACCATGCAGGGTCTGGAGGCCACCATTAAGACTTTTGTTTCTGGCATTCATTCCCTTCTTCACATTTCCTGAGACTCTTCCTCTGGGCCAGGCCAAATTCAGGGAATAGGAATATAGCGGTTAATAACAATAACAATGGCTAATATTCATTGACTACTTACCATTTGCTATTAGAACTATCATTCTAAGCGCTTTGACACATGAACTCCTTTAATCCTATGAGTTAGAGGCTACTATTATTCCCATTTGACAGATAGGGAAATTGAGGCACGGAAAAATTATGTAATTTTCAAGATCATACAACCAGTAAATGGTAGAACCAGGATGAACCCAAGCAGTTTGACACCGAAATCCATAAGCATTTATGCTTATAACCACTATGTTTCTTGTGTGACTCCTGTCCAAGTTTAGAGAACAGTAGTCCTGGCTGTATTAGCCACTCGAACAGTGTTTCAGATGTAGGCAGCTAATTTAGAACAGAACTTCCCAAATTCGGCAGATCATAAGAGCTCCCCTGGAGTGCTTGTTAAAAAGATCGTTTTTTTAAAAAGATATTTTATTCAATAGGTCCAACCTGGAATTTGTATTTTTAACAAGTTTGACAAATGCTGGTTTAGTAGTTCAGTGCAATGGCTTTTGAGCTGGACAGATCCTAGTTTGGGGTGGCTTGCAGCTTTACTATTTTTCTAGATGTTGTTATTGAACCAAACTGGGGTCTGCTTGCCTGCCCCAGCCAAGCCAAACACTGAAGCTGAGAGTTGCAGCAGGACAAAGAGGCATTTTTATTGCAAGTTGCCATGCAAGGAGAAGGAGCAGTTAATGCTTAAAACTCAAACTCCCTGATGGTGTCCAAGCCTGGGTTTTTAAAGGCAGGGGTATATTTCAGGAGGCCCTGGCCCCCAAAAAGGGAGATTCTTGAAGTGGGCTGAGAGATGGAATTGGTGAATTCACAGATTATTTAATTAATGGAGAGGGGGAAATTTAGAACAAAGAACGATGGTCAGAGTTCAATTCCTCAGTTTCCCCTTATCTACATTTTCTATCTGGTGGAGATTTCTAAAAACCAGCTCAAGAACATATATTAAGATGCCATCGTTTAGTTTCCATAGGAACCAAAACATCTCCTGTGTGGCTCGCTTGGAGGGCCATTGTTCTCACCAGGTTGCCCTATCACTTTCATGGCTAGCCAGGTGCTCAGGATTTCCCCTGAAGGAACTCAAGATTTTCCTTTATTTCCACGCTTGGGGGCCCTGCAGGCCCCTAGGAGGGGCCCCTGTTCCATCTCAATGTGTGTCACCTTTGTGCAAGTCGCTTCATCTCTCTGAGCGTCAGTTTCCCCACCTGCCGAAAGTTGCTAATGACAGCTCTCCCTCCCAGGGCTGTTGTGCGGATTAAGTGAGCTGCAGGCAAGGTGCTTAGTGCGGTGCCTGGTGTGTAGCAAGTGAAGATAATAGAATGATAGTGATGACTGGGAGGTTCCAGCTGCCCCAAGGTTAAGTGTCACAGATCACAGCAGACTCCTGGGAGGACTGTTCTGAGACAAGGCCTGGCCCTTTTGACCTTATACTAGAGTTGTCAGCTAAAAATCAGGACGCCCAGTTAAACTGGAATTTCAGATAACGAAAAAAATTTTAGCATAAGTATCTCCCAAATATTGCACGGGATATACTTATACTAAATCAGTCACTGGATTTTTTAATCTGAAATTCCAATTTAGCTGGGGGTCCTATATTTACCCGTGTTAAATCTAACAACCCTTCCCTGGGGGAAAGGACTGACCCCGTAGCCTCAGCTCTTCTGCCCACGTGGGCCCCAGACACAAGGCCTCCCCTCGCCAGGCGCCCACGTCGATCCCAGAGGGGCCAGCCGCTCGCGCCTCCTCCCCGCCCAGGCAGCACTAGTGGCTCCCCGAGCGGCCGAGCCCCGCCCCGCCCTGTCCCGCCCCGAGCAGAGGGCGCCCGCCCGGCGGTTGGCCAAACGGCTGGGCAGTGTGGAGTCGCGCTGCTCCTGCCCACGCGGTGTGCTCAGGCCAGGCCAGACACTCACTCGCCATGTCAGTTGCGGAGGCGGGGGGTGTTTTCCACAGAGCCCGGGGCAGGACCCTGGACGCGTTTCCCGCAGGTACTGCCGGAGCTTCGCCCTGGGAGGGGATTCCGGGGCTGCGGCACCTTCCGCCGGGGGAACCTTCAGTCTAGGTGCGCGCGCCTCCAGCCGGGCCCCCTCCGAGGCTGCACCGCAGCCTGGGGACCGCTATAGCTGCCTCACCGCCCGCAGTTAGTGATGCAGGGCGAGAGCGAGAACGAGCGCGAGCGCGGGGTCCAGGAGCCTCGCTGGCCTTGACGTAACTTCCCCAAGAGAAGAGAAGTAAGAGGAAGGCAGTAAAGTGTAATGATAGCTTGGGCTCCGCAGTTAGTCCTGTTTCCAAGCCTTTGTTTTGGCTACATTCCCTCAGCAAGTCGTGGCCTCAGCTTCCTCATCTGTAAAACGGGAATGCTAGTGAGGTTATGGGTGGCGCTGGATAAGCGCTCGGTGCATGTTAGAGGCTGTTATTTTTTATCAAGGTGGTTCACCGTAATGCATTTTATACTCCATAATTACAGTTATTTACTATAATGTGAGTCATTCACCGAAATGTTAACAGTGCCCAGCAGAACGGTAGGGAAGGGAGGGCAGTCTTAGCGTCGTGGTGGAATTAAGTGCTTGGATTTCGGAGTTAGATAATCTGCCTCGCTGTAAAAATGGGCTTGATAATACCTGCCTCATAAGGTTCTCGGAAGCGTTAACAGACCAAAAGTATTTCTGTAACCTAGAGCCAGACACTTGGCTAGATACTAAGCGAATGTTAGTCCTTGAGCTATATAAGTCAAGAGGGAGGTTTGTTTCTGGTTCCTCGGTTCCCTTCTGTAGCTCTTTTGCTGTCTGGAGTCAAAATGCCTCCCAGTCACCAGTTTTATCACCCCAGGGAAGTCATCCCCTGTGCCCCGCGCAGTCTGGCTCGTGTCCACGTTTCTTCAGGCTTGCCACTCCCTCGCTTGCTCAATTCTCCTGCCACACTGGTTATTATTTGAACTGCATCAAAAAGGGCCAAGGCCTTTTTTTATGAGAGCCTTGGCACCTGCCTTTGCTCCCAAAGTGCGGCTGGTGAGCTGGCTCCTTCTCAACCTTCACACCTCATTTTAAGGTTCACTTACTTTCCCGGAGAGACTTTCCCTGGCTGTCCTATCTTAAGTAGGTTTCTCCGGTAGTCCTATGCTGGAACCATATTAGTTTCCTTTCATTGTAACTCTTGGTGGGGGAGTAGCAAAGTTGGAAGAGTGTGTGGGGCCCGAAATATAGCTGTGATGAATTTGGGAAAACACAGTCTACCATGGTGCCATTCTCTACCTACAGTTTGCTGGTTCCACATCCGCAGAACCAACTAGCTGCGGATTGAAAATATTTGGGGGGAATAAAACAATAAAAAATAACATTACAGCAATAAAAAATTAATGCAAATTTAAAAAATATAGTCTAACAACTATTTACGTAGCATTTATGTTGCATGAGGTATCATAAGTAACTCTAGAGATGATTTAAAGTATATGGGAGGATGCACGTAAGTTATATGCAAACACCACCCTTTTATAAGCGACTTGAGCATCCACGGATTCTGGTATCCCTGGGGGTCCTGGAACCAATCCCCCTCAGATACTGAGGGATGACTATTTCAGGCAACTTGCCTTTTTCACTCAACATGAAGTTTTTGAGATTTATTCATATTGATATAAGTAGCTCTACTTCACTCATTTTTCTGCTGGGCAATATTCCACTGTATGAGTATATACTTTATGTTGATGGCTATGTTGAATATCTTGCCTTTCCTTTCCAAATCTCTTTCCCTTCCTCACCATGCCTTTGGGAGTTGATCTTTATGGGCTGCATCAGTGGGCTCCTTGCTTTCTGGTTTCCCCTCGAGTTCAGCTAGTGGGGAGCCCTGACCTGAGAGATTAGAGGCTGGGGGAAGCAAAAGTCAGAGCATTTATTCCCACAGTTTACTTCCTGTGGGGTTGCCTTGGGCTGGCTGTATTCCTCCCTTCAAGGTCATTCCTCTCAAGACAGCCTTTTGCTCACTCTTTCCAGATTTGGGTAAGTAACCACTTCCTTATTTCCTCCTTTGAGATGTGGGAGTGGCAACAGCTCTGCTTTTCTACCTTTGGAATACTAAACTCTCCCTTGTATTTTCCCTACACCTAACCCATTCCAAGTAATCCCTTCTTAAACCCTCCTTTAATTATCCTAATTCGAGTATGCGGCTATTTCCTGCTTGGATCCTGACTGATAAAATGGCCGTTGAGTTTCTGTGTTTCACTGTTGCTAACAGTGCCGTTATGAACGTTCTGCACAAATCTCTTTGTGGAGGCATGGGAGAGTTTCTCCAGGGCATATACCCAGGAGCTAAATTCTGGATTGTAGGGTATAATTATCCCCAGCTTTACTAGATGTGGTCAAATTGCCTTCCAGAGTGGTTGTGCTGATTTCTACTCCTGCCAGCAATGTATGGGAGTTCCCTGTTACTCTGTTGTATCCTTTGTTTTTTTTTTTTCAGTTTGAGAAATATTTATTATTTCCTATTGCATTCTCCAGTGTCTTGTGTGTGTGGGTGGAGGGCGGGGGATCAAGTTATATGTCCTTAGAGGCTCATAATCTAAGCACAGAGCTTTGGCCCAGAAAATAATTCTTGGCAACTGATGGTCTCTGAGGGCCACAGCAGTGGCAAGACTCAGGATTTTAAGTTTGGTCCTGGGTGACAGTAGGGCTATTAAGTGAAATCAGGGAGTGAAGAGTAGGGTCAGGTTTGAGGAGATGGATTTGAGGTGCCATCAGGAATTCTGAGGCAACCTGTGGGTGCCATTGCCCAGGGGGAGTAGATGGTGTTGCCATAGGATTGAATCGATGGCCTTGCTAAGGGGCAAAGTGTAGCATGGCGGGTCGTGTGTGTAAGCTTAGAGCATGCAGGTGTTAGGGGTGAGACCAGGACACATGGAGGGCTCAATGCAGGATCAACCAGAAATTCTGGAAGATAAAACCAAGAGCTGGCCTTGACAACAAAGCCAGGAAGGAGGGCCCAGGCAGGGTGGTGCACAGGGTCAGATGTTGCGGAGGTTGAGGGGAATGGAAGCTGAGCAGAGGATGGCAGGTTTGATTGATGGGGGACCTTCAGGGCAATAGTTTCAGTAGAGTTGTTGGGGAAAGCCTGGTGCACAGTATTTGAGGAGTGGCTGGGGGTGAGGATGTGAAATCAGCGGGGGTAGGGTTCTGTTGGGAGCTGTTTGGTGATGCAGGGTAGACACAGGGTAGTAGCAGTTTATGGGAGAAACAATGCTAAAGGAAAGTTTTTTTGGAAAAGGAGAAACCCAAGCTGAAGGGTTTGAAATAGTAATAATGGTGGTGAGGCAGCCGGAGCATCTAGCCTGTAGCAAGTGTTTATGGTGTGCCAGGCACTGTGGTACATGGTTTATACAGGTCATCTCAGGTCATCTTCACAATAATCCTGTTGAGGTAGGTATTACAATCATCCTCTTTTTACAGTGGAAGAAAATCAGGCTTGGGAAGGTTAAGCAGTTTGCCCAGGGGCATGTGATTGGTCTGAGATGGATCTGGAGATGAAACTGCAAAAGGCAGGATAGTTGGAGAACGATACCCGAGGAGAATGGGAAATGAGGGGATCGAGAGTTCAGGAGAGGAGTTGGCCGTGGGAGCATATGTACTCTTTGATCATCTGTCCATCTGTCTCTCCATCCCACTGTCCATTTACCAGCCATCTGTCCCCCAGTCTATCGATCAGATGTCCCTCCACCTACCTGTAGTTCACCCATCTCCTTGTCCACTCATCACAGGTACTGAGCGCTTGCTTTGCCCCCGACATTGTGCTGAGTGCTGGATGAGTGAAAACCAGATGTGATCCTGCACCTCTGGCACGCAGCCACCTGGAGAGCCGGACAGTGACCCTGCTGTCCCACAAACCGGCATAAATAGTAGCTGTGGCAAATGTCAGGGAAGTGAGGGGTTAGGTGCTGTAGCTGAAGGTGCTTGTTTGGGTGGGGAGTGGGTTCTAATGGAGATTATGGGGGCTCTGAGGAGCAGTGAGGTGTTGGAGCTTCCTAGGCCATCGGAGCTGCCACAGGGCCACCAGTGGGACCTGAGAACCAGAAAGCATGTCCCCCGGACAGGAATGGGGTTAATGGAGAGAGACTGAGATGATCGGTCGACAGGACACCTGCCTTGCTGAGATAGGAAGAGAGAGAATGACCCTGGACTTTTCTTAGCACTCACTAAATCTCGACGTGGGGCTGCACTTGATCTCCTCTGTGGGCCGGGCAGTCCCAGGAGGCATGCTGGGGTGGGTCATTTAGCACAGGGCCTTTAGAAGCCCACCCTGAGTGCTGGACTGCGCAGCCCAGTCTTACGAGTTCACTGCACTAAGTGCTGCATCCCAGCCCTCTGTGGGTTCCATTGTGCTCATTGACTTTCCCCTGGGTCCTAACTCTCTGTTAGCATCACTGGCCACTTGGACAGGTGCTCTAAGGTACCCAATGCCAGTCTAGGCTCTGTGGGAAGGAACAGCCTCAAGCCAGTAGAGTTGCCCCCAAGGGCGGACTCAGAAAGTGAGGGAACTGGCTTTTACCTTGTCTTGCCAAAACTCACAGTGTCTGTCAAAGGGGTTCATTTAACTCAAGCAACTATGCCTAAAATCACAGCTATGTACTAAAAAGCCCGTCCATAATTAGCTGCTTAAACAGTTTGTTTCTCAAGTGAAGCCTGTCAGTTACACGAAAGAGCTCTTTACTTTAAGACGGTTTCCCCCACCAGTGATTTCCTCCACCAGTGATTGACATGAGTAACAATGTTCCTGTCAACGTCTGCCAGTGGTATTAGGTGCGAAGCTTGGTTTCAGTCATCTGTTCCCTGTTAACATAATCTGCTAGGCTCGGTCGACAGATGTTTGTAAAAAATAAATTGTACACGTCTCACCTGAGGAGAGTCACATTCCTAAGGCATGTTCAGATAGTCATTCTAATTAGGCAAATTGACAATTATATTTCCTTGACACATATCCTAATTAGGACTATTTTCTCCTAGTA